CGGGCTTGGGGAGGACCGTCTGCGGAGTCTTTCCGCTGGACAGTCGCGCATGAAGTGGCCCATCTTCCCGCAGCCGAAGCAGCGGATGTCACGCTGCTCGGCGGACCCTAGTTCCATGGGAACTGGTCCGTTGGGGCTTGTTCGACCGGGAGCCGACAAGGAACGCCCAGGTCATGCTGAGGCCGGCGTACGCGCCTGGCGATGGCTGTACTCTTCTTGAAGAGCCACTTGAATCGCCTCTTCAAGGGTGCTTGACTGCACCCGGAACAGCCCAGTGCGCGCTGGGCTCACTCGAAGACCGTCCATGAACACAGTCATCTTGATGTGTTCGCTGAGTGGGTTTCTCACTAGGGACGCCGTGAGCTCCCGTATCTCTTGCACATACTCGTGCAGTTCGCGCCTCCCTTGTTTACACGAGAGGAAGCGCGAACGCTGGCGGTACTCGTAGTTCGCCGGGAGGAACGCGGCTCGGAGCTGCTCGAACAGCTGAGCCCAGGATGTGAAGCATCCAGGGGGTGTTGCTTCTCGTGTGTACACCCAACTCTCAGCACGGCCGCTAAGGTTGGAGAGTGCAAAAGCAACACGCAGTTGCTCGGTCGAGATCAGAGCCGCGTCCCATCGCGAGCTCTACTTCTCGGAACCCAGAAGTGAAGGTTCTCCGCCTTTCTTTCCTCTCATACGGCTTAACCTTCTGCCGTATTGGCTTCGGGTGAGGCGGATTTGCTTCCGCCGCCGGAGCCTGCAGGTTCTTTTGCACGTGCGCGATGAGCCCTGCTCGTACGCGTCAAACGCACTGACGCGCTCGAGCTGCTCAGCCGGTGTTGACACCACCAGGCTCTGCAGGGCCTCCATCCCGAAGATGCCTGCCATCTTCCGAACCGACTCGAACTGAGATTCGTTCATATGGGAGAAGTCGTTCCTATCCATGGCAACGAACTTCGGAGAGGTTCAGGTAGTTTACCCGCGATGGCGTGGATTGACTACGAGTGCTACCAAGTGTGACGGGGTCACACAGCACCTTGCGCTAGAGGAATTTATCTTCCGAGAGTATACAAACTCTCAGTGAACGGCAGTTCACAGGTCCCCTCTTTATTTAAAGAGAGCGAAGTGACCTAAATAAGGTAGATTGTAAACTGAGTATATTTATAGGTAGAGTAAGTTTGGGTTTAATACAAACTATAAGTTACCTTTAGAAATGCAATGTCGTTTGATCAATGGTTGGCTTTGAACGACTTTGGTACCTTGTACCAAATATCCCGGAGTATGACGTGTCATACACCTGAAGTGTGAAGTGTCACACTTCATGTAACCAGGGTACACTTAGGGCTACGTACCCCGTTACAAGATCTGACCTGCGGCGTAGGAACGAAGAAGGACAGATGGCACGGTGGGAGACGTCAGGTGAGTAGGACCTATGGATACTCACCCGACTACTCAGTAGTCGGGTGAGTATCCAATGAAAATGCAATACACCTTCAGTAGTCTACTGAAGGTGTATTGCATTTTGGAACGGGGTAGGGCTGGCTAACGCCATTTCCTTTTTTTTTTTTTTAACAAAAGGGCATACGTGTGTTTTCACAATTAGGATTGGTTGAAATCATGGCCAATCAATTGTGCTAACGATTACCATTTCACCCGCGTCACTCTTCCGCATGACCTAGCGGCCATGGACTGGAGCTCCGTGTACGACAACAGCGGCGAGGAAGAAGGAAACTGGGAGGACTACGGTGAGACGCGCTCTTCGCGCAATGCGCATCGCCTCCTGCGTCGAAAGACGTCTCTACCTCTCATCAAACAGCAGGAAACCAGCGCGCAGTACTCGCCACTTGTGGCCTACGCCTTCACAGTCAACTACATTTTGGGTGTAGGCTCGCTGGGCATCCCCTACGCGTTCTACCGCGCTGGACTAGTAATGGGTAACGTTATGATCGTCGTAGTCACGCTGCTGTCCTATATGACGGTCATGTGGGTCTGCGAGAGTGTCGCCAGAGCACGCGAGGCCTTTGTCATAAGCTTTTTATTGAGCGAAACCACTGCACTCAAGGCCTCATCCTACTCCACCACTCCCAGAAGCAGTGTATCCATGGAATGTGACGATTTCCCAGAGGTTACGCAGCTCTGTGACAGATTTTTGGGTCCTGCAGGCTCTAAAATGTACCAGATCTCCCTCTTAGGTCTCATGTACGGAGGCCTAGTGGGGTACAGTCAAGTTTTCGTCAACACTTTCTTGACTCAAGTGAGTCATATTGGAGACTGGGAGCTCTCTAGTGTCCACGCGGCCATTGTCTTCGCTTGTATCGTCCTGCCACTGTCCTGTTCGGACCTGACGGAGCAGATTTACGTCCAATTAACTATGTCTGTGGTACGCTTCGCTGCGCTATTGATTATGATCTTTAGCGCTGCGTACGCGGTGTATGCAGACCCTTACGACAGCGGAGCAGAGGCTACTTCTAGCTCCGAGTCGCCGTACTTTAGTGAATACTCGCTTGTGGATTTGAGCGGGTTTGGCGTCATGTTTAGTACCGGTGTGTTCTCGCAATTATTCCAGCATTCGGTGCCAGGATTACTGGCCCCATTGGGCGTCAGGAACCAGGAGAAAGCGTCCAGGGTCTTCAGCAGTACGCTGCTTACCACGATGATGTTTTACATCGCTCTCGGGTCGATCTGCTCGCTGTATTTCGGACCCAAACTCGCGACAAGTGTGAATTTGAACTGGGCAGACTTTACGTGGGGAATCAACGAGTCGATGGCGCTCGTGCCGATGTGGGCAAAGCTCCTGTCGATGATTGTCGTGGTGTTCCCTGCTCTCGACACTCTGAGCGTGTTCCCACTCATCTCAGTGACACTAGGCGACAATATGGCTGCTGTACTACCGCAGAAATGGACTCGAGGCAGCAGGAGGTCGACGTGGAAGCTCTTGTGTCGATTCGGAGCAGCCGTGCCGCCACTATTGATATCCATGTTCGTGTCGGACTTATCTGTGACGCTCCAGATCAGTGGACTTCTGGGTATTTACGTGGCGTTTTTCGCGCCAGCTTTACTGCAATTGCAAGCGCGTCGCGAGATATCGACCAGCAATGTCTACAGCGGGAGATTTAGTGGCACAGCGTACGTGTATGGCGTATTGGTGTTTGGTATGCTGGCACTACTTGTCCTGCTGTACCAATTAGTGCTTGAAATGCCCGGTGCGTGATGGGTTTTTAATTGCTGCTGTGCTTAAAGTACGGTAAAATGCAACTCTGCGTTCGACAAGGCAAGACATTGAGATGGACGTCTTCCCTGCTCGACTCACGGTTGCTGGAATGGAAATGAATATGTATTGATTGAATTGACAAGTGCCTTTGTATTTCCTCTCCTTTAACGTTTGAGGTGGTTGATGTAGCGCAGGGAGAACAAGGCCAGCACACGGAAGGCCACGATCAAGATGAGGAGGATCATGACGTTTCTCCAGATATTGTCGTGGTTCATGTCGAAGTTGTCCTCAACGTACTCTTTCAACGTCACGTTACCAACTGAAGGAGGCGAGTTGGAGAGCTTCTGGCAGCTGATACCGTCTGTACTTCCCACGGGACAGTCGGCGAAAACGAGCGCGACCAAGATAGCGATCGTGTACGTGGGCGGCGAGATGTAGTGAACCCATTTGTATCCGGTTGGGATGCTACTCGCCGGAGGGTTATAGCCAGCGAACAACAAGAAAATACCGCTAAAGAGCGACCCTAATGTCGCTGCGACAGCGACACTGGGTAGCGCGAAGACCATGAGCTGGCCTAAGTAGACGAACACGAGCGTATTCAGCGAGATGACGAGCCAGTAGTAGACGAACGTCATGTATCCCGTGAACCCGACACTGGGGAAGAAGATGGCGCAGAACACCAGACTCGCGACGAAGATGTAGGGGATTTCCATCAACGTCCCGGCGATAAAGTACCACAACGCGTTGTACGTCTCCGACGCAGGTTCGCGGTAGAAAGCTGTACGTTCCTCGGCAGCTACGGGCATGACGTTGTTGAAGCCGATGATTCCCAGGAAGAGCGTACTGACGAAGACCAGACCCACCCCAGCGTTGGCGCCTGTGTACGTGGTGTAGTCTGTACCTTGATAAATGATGGCAAAGACACAAGCCAGCACCAAGCTGATGATTAACCGCGTGAGGTTGTACGCTGGTGTGCGCCAGTACATGCGGAAGAAGCGACGACATAGCAGATTGAACTGAGTGGCCGAGCTCGACGCGCGCTTGGTGTCGAACTTGAGCTCAGGTAGGTGCGGAGACGGATACAGCACGCCTTCCTGGTCGAGATCTTCCTCCATTAACTCCTTCTGGTCGCTCACCATGAAGCGTTCAGCGAAGTCCTTTGGCTGCGACGGATCGGCATTGGCAGCAGCCTTGCCACCGCCAACACCAGCTCCGATGCACTCGAGCATCCATGTAGCAGGGTTGTATCCTGGAGTGATAGGCTTGACGTCGTTGAAGGCCTCAAAGTAGTTGATCAGGTTCTTGGACTCCTCGCCAAGCTCGCCAAAGAACACCATACGACCACCACGACGGAGCAGTAGCAGCGAGTCGAAGAAATTGAACACTTCCGTGCTGGGCTGGTGGATCGTACACACAATGGTGCGGCCCGAGTCGGCGATCTTGCGCACCCCGTTCATGATCAACTTGGCCGAGCGCGCGTCCAAGCCACTCGTCGGTTCGTCCATGAAGATGATACTAGGCTGGGCTGTCAACTCCACTCCGATCGTCACGCGCTTCATCTGCTCCGTGGACGACCCGCGGATGATCTTGTCGGCGATAGGTCCGAGCTCCAATAGGTCAATGCATTCCTGTACAGACTCCATTTTTTGCTCGGTCGAGATACTGGCATCCTGACGCAACATGGCCGAGAAGATCAGCGCCTCACGGACAGTAGCAGAGTCGGAGTGTATGTCCATTTGCTCACAGTATCCGGTACATCTGCGGATGGCGAGGTCGTTGGCCGGGTGGCCGTTCAGCAGGATCTTGCCCTGGATCTTACCGCCAGTTTTGCGACCAGCAATGACATCCATCAGCGTCGTCTTACCAGCACCAGAAGATCCCATAAGCGCCGTCATCGTACCGGGTAGAGCGAAACCAGAGACGCCCTTAAGCAGGTCAATTTGTTCATCATTAGCACCACCGGGGAGCGGCACCGAGTACCAGAGATCGTGGAACGCTAGCGTGACCGGAACGACATTGTTGTTAGCGAAGGCTTGTGTGGTGACTCCATTGTCGACGATATCGACAACATTTTCGTATTCCTTCGGCGTCGCTGGCATCTTGGAATACGCAGTTTGATCGTTGTCCGCGTCATCACTTTGGGCCAGAGCCACGTTCTCAGGGCTCTCGAAACGCATATACTCGAGCACAAGGTACGAGCAGAAGACGGAGATAAAGTACCCAGCCACCAGGAAGATCCATCCGTACCAGATCCACGCTGACTCGGTCTGCAGATTGAAGACGCTTAAGGTGTATTTGCCCACCGTTTGGCTGTATTCTGCACAGTAGTCGGTGCCTTTGTAGACGCAGACGTCGTACTTGGGGGCTAAGTATTGGTTGACACTCAGCGCTCGAATGCACCAGGCCAATGGATCAATCCAATAGATCCAAATCAAGTAGTCCGGGATATCATCTTTGGCGATCAAGAAGCCACCAAACAGCATGAAGAAGAAGACAAGCAACAACACGTCGGGCTGTGCGATAGTCAGATTGGGCGATGCGGCCGAGAGGAAGAAGAAGAAGCTCGTGAACCACATTTGGCACAGGAAGAGCGTGACGAGGAACACGAGGAATCGATCGACCACGTCGACGTATCCACCCATTTAGTAGACGATGGACCCAAACATCAGCGTCTCCAATACGCACAACGGAATTTGAGTTATGGAAGTGGCCAACACGTACGCGCTCGTACGGAAGAAATTGACGCCGCGATGCTTGTAGAAAACGCTGCGAGCGTCCATGTAGGTCGCTACTTGTGACGCCTGACTCATGGACAGGAACATGGCGCACGAGAAGAGCAGACCCAGCATCAACTGGCTGTCCGTGTCATTCATCTGCCAGAACGTCGAACCGTACAGGAGGCCCATGACGATAACCATAACGGCGCGTCCCATGAGGTACGTGGTGTCACGCAGCGTTAGCATCGCTTGGCGCTGCAATAGCGTGACCAGCTCTTCCGTGTACGTTTGATGGAACGGCTTGAGATCGGCGAATACCATGGCGTCTGCACTCGCGTCAAGCCGCTTCAGGGTCTTCTGGAAAATATCCGAGTCCATGAAGACTTTGGCGAAGTCGGCGGCATGGTAAGGAACGCTTCTGGTATCTTCAGTAACGTAAACGTCTTGTTTGTTCGTGCCAAGATCCAACAAGAAGTCGGCCACATCTTTACGCGGTGGACAGTGGAAACCCATGCGCTCAAAGTACGGCACAGCGTCCTCTCGCTTGCCATGGAACATGATGCTGCCTTCGTTCAGCAGCAACACGTCGTCGAAGAGCTCAAAGACCTCGGGAGACGGCTGAAGTAGCGAGATCACGACGGTGGAATTGAAGTTGCGAGCTGCACTTTTCATCGACTTGCAGATGTCGTAAGTAGCTGCACTGTCGAGACCTGTACTGATCTCGTCCAGAAGCTGCAGTCTCTTCCAGGCCACAGTCATTTCGCCAGTGGTAACGCGCTTACGCTCGCCTCCAGACACACCACGGAGCATGGCGTTACCCACGACAGTGTCTTTACAGTTGTCCAGACCCAGTTTCTTGACTGTGATGTCCGGAGCGAACTCGTGGTGAGCTGTCATGACTTCTAGAGCGTGCTCACGTTGCTCCGGTGTGCAGTTTTCAAGTGCTTCAACCACCCAAGGCTCCAACCCTTTGCCAGCACAGCATCGATGAGCGAACTAGAAAGTCTCTTGGACTGTCAAGCGAGGATAGTGGTCATCGATCTGGTTGGCGTACGCAACGTAGCGTGGCAAGACTTCCAACAGCTCATTGCGGTTCTTGCCACTGTACTGGACGGCTCCATTTAACGTGATGCTCTTGTCCATATGAAACTGGTTAGCCAGCACCTTCATGAGCGAGGATTTGCCGGATCCTGGCTGACCCAGAATGAGTGTGATGCGACCAGGCTTGAACACGCCACTGATACCTCGTAAGATCTTCTTTTCCACCGTAAGATTGTTCTCCTTCGGTGCACAAAGACTGGTTACGCCTTGTTGCACTTGCGTCCAAAGTGTCGGAACTTCCAGACCTCCGCTCTTGAATTGCGGCACCAGGGCTGACAATTCAAGGTTGTGGAAGCGTACTTCCAAGCCAGGAATTGGGTGGCCTAAAGCCTTCTCGATGACTGAAGACAGCGTCGAGTTCATGGTGAACACTCCGTCGGCCATCAGCGTATCAGCACTTGTCAAGTCGTCCTTGGTGAGCTCCTGGGGGTCCGGATACATGCTTTTGGTGCGCGGTAGCGGGTCTTGATCACTGGAACCCACGCGACGCGAATTGAAGCGAGGTAGACGATAATTAGAGGCCTTCGCAGTCGTTAGTGTGTCGGGGACGACATCACCGACACTACTATTGTCTTCAGCTGGGAAGATTTCTTCGCCCATGGTTGTTGGTTTTCTCGAATGGGACTGAACTTGCTGGGCACGTGGCAAATTGAAAACTGAGGATCAAAGCGAGAACAACTCGTGGCCACACGCAGCGTTGGTACGTGTTCATATTATATGACTCCTTTTTCTGGTCGTCGTGTGTACATGAATCGGAAAGGCAAAGCTCCGTGACAAACAGGGTGGTCAACGTGCCAAGGGATCTGTTGATTATCTTTGTTGGTCAGCGGTATAGCTACGCGCAGGATTACAGACTCGAAACTCGCTCGTACTAACGAAATGGGACGTCCAAGTTTCTTTACATGTGCATGTACCGAATGAATGGGGTTTTCCTTATTAAATACCACCTTCCCGTGGTAATTACCACTCGTGATCATTACATGTACAGTACTGGGTTGGGCGTTTTCAAAACAAAACACTGAAAACATTCTGAATCAAAAGCTTTGATATAAAGTCATTTATAAGTTTTTTAGCAGTTTTTATTGACCCATTATTGGCACTACTGCTATTCTACGTTGTACATAGTACTACTTAGTATTACAACATAGTACTACATTTATAAAAATAGTGGAGCTCAAATCTGAATGTATAAAAGTAGCTGTAGTATATGTACTACAAAGACTGGCTCATTAAAAAAAAGCATTTTTGTACAAGTTTTTGTTTTGGTAATTTACCATGTGCAAACTATGTGCAAACTATATTTTTTCATTTTTCCAGCAGTTCGATCCTGCCAAGCTAGCTCAGTTTAACGTTTGAGGTGGCTAATGTAGCGAAGAGAAATCAGCGCCAGCACGCGGAATACCACGATGAGGATGATGAGGATCATGGCGTTTCTCCAAATGTCATCGTGCTTCATGTCAAACGTGTCCTCGACGTACTGCTTGAGGGTCATGTCTCCGATATTGGGAGGAGCATCCTGCATGGCATCACAACCCACCTTGGAACCCGAACAATCTCCAAAGACCAGTGCAACCAAGATAGCAATGCTGTAGGTGGGCGGTGAGACCCAGTGGACCCACATGTATCCTTCCGGAATGCTCCCCGTGGGCGGGTTGAAGCCGGCAAACAGCATGAAGATGGAGCTGAGTAGAGCTCCGAGCGTAGTCGCGACAGCCACACTAGGTAGAGCGTACACCAGCAACTGACCGAGATACACGAACACCAAAGCGTTCATGGAGACCACGAGCCAATAGTAGAAGAACGTAATGTAACCAGTAAAGCCTACGCTCGGGTAGAAGATGACCATGAACAGTAAGCTCGAGAAGAAGATGTACGGGATCTCCACCAGTGTACCGGCAATGAAATACCACAGCGCGTTGTAAGTCTGCGATGCACGCTCACGGTAGAAGGCTGTGCGTTCGTCGGCAGCCACAGGCATGACACTGTTGAAGCTGATAATACCCAAGAACACGGTACTCACGAAGATCAGACCGATGCCGGCGTTGGCTCCACTGTACGTGTTGTAGTCGGTTCCTTGGTAGATAATAGCGAAGACACAGGCGAGCACGATGCTGATCATCAAACGCGTGAGGTTGTAGGTAGGAGTACGCCAATACATGCGGAAGAAGCGACGGCACAATAGATCGAATTGAGTGGCCGAGTTCGACGCACGCTTGGTATCAAACTTGAGCTCGGGCAGGTGCGGAGACGGGTACAGCACGCCTTCCTGGTCGAGATCTTCCTCCATCAACGCCTTCTGGTCGCTTACCACGAAGCGATCGGCATAGTCCAATGGCTGTGACGGATCGGCATTAGCAGCAGCCTTGCCGCCGCCAACACCAGCACCAATGCACTCCAACATCCAAGTAGCAGGGTTGTAGCCAGGCCTGATCGGGTTGACTTCAGGAAAGGATTCAAAGTAGTTGATCAGATTCTTGGAGTCCTCTCCAAGTTGGCCAAAGAACACCATACGACCACCACGACGGAGCAGTAGCAGCGAGTCGAAGAGATTGAACACTTCCGTGCTGGGCTGGTGGATCGTACACACAATGGTGCGGCCCGAGTCGGCGATCTTGCGCACCCCGTTCATGATCAACTTGGCCGAGCGCGCGTCCAAGCCACTCGTCGGTTCGTCCATGAAGATGATACTGGGCTGGGCTGCCAACTCCACTCCGATCGTCACGCGCTTCATCTGCTCCGTGGACGACCCGCGGATGATCTTGTCGGCGATAGGTCCGAGCTCCAATAGGTCAATGCATTCCTGTACAGATTCCATCTTCTGCTCGGTCGAGATACTGGCATCCTGACGCAACATGGCCGAGAAGATCAGCGCCTCACGGACAGTAGCAGAGTCGGAGTGAATGTCCATTTGCTCACAGTATCCGGTACATCTACGGATGGCGAGGTCGTTGGCCGGGTGGCCGTTCAGCAGGATCTTGCCCTGGATCTTACCGCCAGTTTTGCGACCAGCAATGACATCCATCAGCGTCGTCTTACCAGCACCAGAAGATCCCATAAGCGCCGTCATCGTACCGGGTAGAGCGAAGCCAGAGACGCCCTTAAGCAGGTCAATTTGTTCATCATTAGCACCACCGGGGAGCGGCACCGAGTACCAGAGATCATGGAATGCCAGAGTTACAGGCACAGCGATACCGCGGCCAGTTGGTTGAGCAGGAACGCTGATAGTGGGGACTCCGCCGTCAACACTGTCGACGTCGTGGATCTCAATGACGTTCTGGCGTTCCTTGGGGGTCTTGGGCATCTGGTTGTAGACCATTTGGTCGCGAGCGGCTTGCTCGTCTTGCTCCAAAACAGCGACGTTCTCTGGACTTTCGTAGCGCTTAAACTCGAGCATGAAATAGGCACCAAATACGAACATGAAGTAGCCGACGATGAAGTAGATCCAGCCATACCAGATCCACTCGGACTCGGTCTGCAAGTCGAACACACCGAGGTTGTACTTGCCCGCAGTAAGATCATATTGAGCGCAGTAGTCGATACCGTTGTACACACACACGTCGAACTTGTCGGCCAGATACTGGTTGATACTCAACGAGCGGATGGCCCACGCGAGCGGGTCAATCCAGTAGATCCAAATGAGGTAGTCCGGGATGTCGCCCTTGGAGATCAAGAACCCTCCGAACAGCATGAAAAACAGCACGGCCACCATCATCATGGGTTGAGCGATCGTCAAATTGGGCGACGCAGCGGCCAGAAAAAAGAAGAAGCTCGTAAACCACATCTGACATAGGAACAGCGTGACCAGGAACACGATGAAGCGACCCGCATCGTCCACGTAGCCACCGAACCAGTACGTGATGGCTCCGAAGATGACCGTCTCGAGGATACTCAACGGGATCTGTGAGATGGACGTGGCCAGCACGTACGCGCTCGTCCGGAAGAAGTTAGCACCACGTTGCTTGTAGAAAATCGAACGCGCGTCGATGTACGTCGACACTTGCGACGCCTGACTCATGGACAGGAACATGGCCACGGAAAACAGTAGACCCAGGATCAGCTGGCTGTTAGAGTCGTCCATCTGCCAGAACGTGGAGCCGTAGAGTAGACCCATGACAACGATCATGACGGCGCGGCCCATGAGGTACGTCGTGTCACGCAGCGTAAGCGTGACCTCGCGCTTCAGCAGCGTCGCCAGGTCTTCATTGAACGTTTGACGGAACGGCGTAAAGTCGGCGAACATCATGGTGTCTTGGACTGGAGCATCAAGTTGCTTCAACGTGTTGTGGAAGATGCTCGACTGCTGGAAACGAGCAGCGAATTCTTCGGACTGGTACGGTACGTTTCCTCCGACGACGTACGCGTCCTGTTTGTTGGTTCCCAAGTCCAACAGGAAGTCGGCCACGTCCTTACGCGGCGGACAGTGAAAGCCCATGTTCTCGAAGTAGGGCACGGCGTCTTCGCGTTTACCGTGGAACATGATTGTGCCTTCATTCATCAGCAGCACATCGTCGAAGAGTTCAAAGACCTCGGGCGACGGCTGAAGCAGCGAGATCACGACGGTAGCGTTGAAGTTGCGGGCTGCACTCTTCATAGACTTACAGATATCATAGGTAGCAGCGCTATCAAGACCCGTACTGATCTCGTCGAGTAGCTGCATACGTTTCATGCCAAACATCATTTCGCCCGTGGTCACACGCTTGCGTTCACCACCAGAGACACCGCGGAGCATGGCGTTACCCACAACTGTGTCCTTACAGTTGTGCAGACCGAGTTTCTTGACAGTCACGTCGGCTGCGAACTTGTGGTGGGCATTCAGAACCTCCACAGCGTGGTCGTGCTGCTCTGACGTGCAGTTCTTGAGCGCCTCTACGGCCCACGGCTCCATGCCCGTGCCGGCGCAGCAACGGTGCGCGAACTCGAAAGTCTCCTGGACTGTCAAGCGAGGGTAGTGATCATCGATCTGGTTGGCGTACGCGACATAGCGAGGCAGTTCGTTGAGTAGACTGCCGCGGTCCTTCCCATTGTAATCAATCTCACCGTTCAGAGTGATGTTCGTGTCCATGTGGAACCGGTTGGCGAGCACCTTCATAAGTGAGGACTTACCCGAACCAGGTTGGCCCAACACGAGGGTGATGCGGCCCGGCTTAAAGGAGCCGGTGACACCACGCAAAATCTTCTTTTCTACTGTGAGTTTGTTGGAGCTGCAGCACATGTTGCTGATACCTTGTTGCACCTGGTTAATCAGCGTCGGGACTTCCAGCTCACCACCTTTAATCATCGGCACTTCGGCCGACAATTCCAGGTTGCGGAATCGAACTTCGAGACCGGGGATCGGGTGGCCCAGAGCGTTCTCAATCACGGTGGAGAGAGTCGTGTTCATGGTGAAAACACCGTCGGCCATCAGTGCGTCGGCACTGGTGAGGTCGTCCCTGGTGAGTTGCTGTGGCTCCGGGAACATACTTTTCGTACGCGGTAGTCTGTCGTAGTCGCCCATGGAGCTACTGGAGCTGAGACGGCGAGAGCTGAAGCGGGGCAGGCGGTACGTGGACACCTGGGGGTTCATTTCAGGAACGACATCACCAACACTTTGGTTGTCGTCTGTGTCGCTACTGGCGGTGGGATTGCCCACCCTGGGGTTGTCGTGGTGCCTCTCCATCGAAACCTTAGAGGGCTTGCGAGGCGAGTTGCTCGAAAGAAGAGAAATTGGAGAATGAGGTGGTGAGTAGATTGTTATGCTGGACTTGCTATCGAAGATGGCAAGACACAGAACTTTCCGCACAGATGTGCTCATGTCTACGGTCGAGTCGAGGCCGTCAACTGTTCGCGGATTATGGCGGACGCGACTCAGCCGTTGTATCGACGTTTGTATGAGGTACTGTATCCATACAATCACAAGAGATCCTGTTGAGCAGCAAATGCAAATGACACACACACGACACGGCTGCAGATTCCGTACGTGTACAGTATTACTGTTCGCGCATTACTGTACAGCTACGATGGCTGCCATGAGACCGACACAGCGGATAGCCAGCAAATTAGCTTGAAGGTGGACGTACATGTTCATGAACAGGTACTGCCCACCGAGCCTAACGACTACATGTACCGTGATGATGTGCTCCCGAGCCACGACTTGCCGACATAGAGTGCGAGACTGTCCAAGCAAGACAGTCGCCTGCATACTGTACTGTACCGCACGCGAGTCGTGCGGGGCGTGCTTCTGCGCGCGTAATATTACCAACAGGTTTTTGCACACCAATTGTTTTCTTAAAAATGATTATGCCAAGTTTAAACTGGACGAGGCGAGGCGTGGTAGCCAAACTTTAATAGTGTCTTGAAGTGTCCTTAACCAAGCGCACCACTCGGAGTGTCTTAGAACTTCGAAGTACATAACGGAGCTGGAAATTTCTGCTTGGATATCATGTCTTGCAAAGGACCCCGTCCGCTTAACGTTGGCATCAACTTTACGGTGACATTAAGACTCCTTTTTGACAGAACGACGACTACCGAAGCAGCGACAATTGCCGATACAGCTGAGGTGGCGAAAATCCAGCGATTTGTTGAAAGCACCTTTACGAACGGAGCGTTGATGGCAAAGCGGAGCCATTTCGCAGTGGGCTGTAATCGCTGTTAAGCTGAAATCCTACCACATGGATTTCCTTGAATCGTCTTATGTAGTACTTGTACAGTACTGTGGCTAGATTATGCCAAAGCGTAACAGAACTTTGCAGGAGAGAGTAAACAAGAAAATGCTTGTCGGCAAAAGGCAGAAAATCTATCTGTAGGCGTGTTCGTTACAGTGTTTATTTACAGTAAGAAGCTCGAGAAGTCGCAGGTCTGTTGACTGAATACGGTCACCCTCAACTGGATTCGCCGCACAAAAGACGATAACGCTTACTCCACCTGAGCTGAGATGAGAACTTCGCAGCGAAAGCATTTAGCGACTGACAACTTGTGAGCAGACATACTGTAAGCTACTGGAATCCAGCTCTAGTCTGGATCACCGAACAGATCAAAAAGAAGTATCTGCTTCTTACCGGAACAAGCCCACCTCATCATACATAATTTTGCCGCGAAAGAGACTTTGATTATCGACCCAGCACTCCAGTTTGTTTCATCCAGCTTGACTGCCAATGTTTTGCCACTTACGTCAAGTTTGAAAAGATTTGAGCAGAGCAGGCGTCAGCATCAGCCCTTCAGACGTTTGCAGCACCAGTGGAAGTAAATTACGATCGGATTGGACGCAAATTACGATCGGGGCGAGTTGGAGCATGGTAATGAAGTCGAAGGGGCGCCCAAAGACCTCCCGGATGCATCGGTAGAATTAAAACATAAATATGGAGCTTCAGACAATGAGATCCTCATCTCCTATGTGCGTGACCGAAATCTCACAGTCGTTCACCAACACGGACGGCAACAACAACAAAAAATCAGCCGTTACATGGATACCATGGACATCTACCTCGATCCAGATCATCTGTTACATGAATTTATGATCTCGCTATTGGATCTCTTCATATCGGGTTTTGGACCCCACACAGGTCTCCAAAGTCTCTAACCTGTAGAGAAACTCGCCAAAAAATGCAAGCTGTGGTGTTTCAGGGATTGTACGCGAGCAATCCCTGAAACACCACAGCTTGCATTTTTTTTAACGACACCGAGAGATCTCTGAAACATTTGGATGCCACCGCTCGTGATAATCCCCCAATGCAAATTATACACTAACACATACTTCGAAGTAATATGTAATGATACGCAAGAATCAAATTTGAATAATATGCGTGCTGTCGAGTATCGTCACGTACGCTAGATTACTATTAATAACGCCTTCAGAAAGCTCATCTTCACGGCTTTTCCATTCGAGAGCCTCACAGACCACATGAATATCCCTTCTCCTTCAGGTCAAGGATCGTTCGTGTTTCACTTTCGCCATAGTCTCCTGCAGCAATTTGTAACTTTCGAGTAACGAGGCTACATTTTGTAGCTTTTGTGAACAGACAACAGCTATTAATACACGTAGTATTAGAAAAGCACCTCAAGCAGAAAAACTCCCTTGTGTGGATCGACACACAAGTGACTTTGTTTATTAACAGCTAGATGAAGCTGTTCTACAGTTTACGGTGAGGCCACTACATGTACACAGGATCTGCCTATGGGAGCATGCGTATAAACAAATATATATAGGCTACAATTTACTAGGGAATCAAAGGTAATGCTTACCAAATAATACTATTATCGAATGATAGTTTCGAAAGTAGTACTACTATTCTTGCAATTAGATATCACTAATAGCTCAGTTTCAAAAATAAACATGACATTTAAATATTAACTCAGAGATTTAGAGAGGTATTAGATTTTATAAAAAAGCTGAGGCTGAAAATTAATCTAGAGCAAATGCCAGCTCTTCGTCCCGCGATGGGTCGCTGCTAGTGAATCCGCCGCCACCTCCGATCGCCTATTCTGAAGAGCTGACGGATTCGTTTGGTGAAAACCCAGTGAAAATTCTTAGCCAAGCGGCCAAGAAGGACGTGTGGAGAAAAAAAAAACTTGATCGTTGGCTTTCGGATACAATTACGTTCGAGTGCAAGTCAAACGGGCAGCCGAAACCCGTTCTTGACTTCTGGAAGTGCCAAGAAGAAACCAACATGTACCACTTCCTACCGCATGTCACCAGGATTCTTTTTGCTGCTCCATCTACATCCACTACCATTGAGCGAGACTCTGGGTTACCGGCATGACTACTCATCGATCCGGCTTGTCGAGTCATAACATCGAGATGTGCTCATTTTTGAGCCGCAACAGTCAATTTACTCATGTTACCCAATTTGAGACGCTGCCTGGTGAAGAGTACGAAAAAGCCATACCGACTAGCATGCTGGTAGATCTAGAGCCAAGGATTAATGATCAGCCCACGTTGACGGAGTGGGAAGTGTCCATGTCTTCGGTATGGGATGATATTGGAGACGAAGAAAATAAGGATGATTAGGAGTAAGCGACCTGTAGCTAAGAAGTTGTATTCCCAATTCATATTTGTTATCTAAGAGTTTCTTTGTTAGAGCAGCGCCTGCCAACTAGTTAGCGATTTACACTTAGTTTTGTTTTTCTACCTTACAACTTTATAATAGTTAAGTAGCGCCTCGTTCACAATGTACCAGTGCGTGACGAGAAAATAGCAAAAGACAAGGTCTCCTTTGCACGAAAGAATAATCACGCATTGAAGTTTATCTGGATGAATTACTGCGGTGTAACAAGTATGATACGGACGAGTACGGTAAGGCGGTTACGTATTGTGATACGGGCGAGTTCGGTGACGCGACCGAGTACGACGGCTCGCTCACGGCGAACGAATATGCGAACGTGTACCATGGAGCGGGCGTGACGAGTACGGTGAGTCGTTTAACGAGTACGATAGGATGGGCGGATGATGAAACGGTGGTCAGGCAGAGCGCAGAAGCTGCCAGGAACGGACGATACTGACGAAGTGTGGCATCTGGCGGTTGACAGAATTGAAGGACGGTAGGTACGTGCCTTCCGTATCCGAATTTGAAGGATTCGGCGAGCACCCGTACGAGAGGAGTGTGGTGTAGTGATTTCTCCGTGGTTGCGGATTATCACCCGTCGACAAAGACGTGACACCGCCTAAGTTGTTCAAGCGACGAACCCTCGGTCGGGTGATGTACGGAGACGCCAAGGTGCAAGGGACTCGACGGCGTCACCTCCGAGTTTTCAACAAGTATCGGATACGGCCCTATGTCACTGAATCCAGGCTGTCCTTATTATTAATAATGGACTGGCCGGATTCGCATTCAGCGGACCGTCTACGGTACGAACCCTCAGTGGCGGTTGGGATGAGTTCGCGGAATACTCAGCGACCTTTGGAAGACACATTCACCGTATGGAACAGGGCGCGGACCGTTAAAGATGCTCATGCGACAGTGCAGACGACGCTTGGCATGCAAGAAGATCCATAACGGATCATTGTTCACTTGATATTTGTATACTTGATTAGGACTTCTTATTAGGAATAGACCCGAAAGGGTAAGCTTAAATACAGAACAGAATTTCCACTCAAGCACACAGAGCGACGTCCGGCTTCAAGGTAAGCGTCAGGTCAAGCTTGTTTGAGTGTGTTATGCCTGTCGGTGAACTCGAAGCTCTGTAGCGAGGGTTCATCCGGCAAGGCCAAGAGACTTTGTGTATTGGCCGATTATTATCGGGAGGTTTTACGTGACGGCTTATTGTTGCCTATTTGCACGACTGGGAGTGCTTGAATTGCCTCCCTTTTATTTCTTCCAGCCGAGTGTTGAACACTCGGTGATCTCGTAAAAGGCTTACCCGTGTCTGGTACCCTTCCGCTGTTGGGACCACGAGGATTCAAAACACCTGCTAGCTTTGCTCGTGCTAGTAGCGTGCTCTTATTTTACTGGTTGGCCTATATAAGTAGTTTACAAGGTCCAGTTTGTCCCGGTGCAAGGGCAGAACTGGGGTCTTCAGGTCCGCCCGAACGATCGTTTACTATCCAAGTAGACGTATTGTTGTGGGAACATCCTAACTACATCTGTAGCTAGAGTTCACGTGGGATTTCCAACACCACAACTGGTGCCGCGACCCGGGAACAGATTGTGACCATTGTGAACTGTTTGTATGGCCTTCCAGTTTACGAGCTACCAAGAGAAGAAGAACAAGAAAAAGACAAGAAACATGGCGAAAGGACAACCGACGGTACCAGTTACGCCTGCCAAGTCTGGCGGGGCTCGCAACGAGAGTTCAAGCCCGGCTGCGCGCTTTGCAGCC